TTGGGGCGGGGGGGGGGGGGGGGGGGGGGGGGGGGGGGGGGAAGAAGGAGGAGTCTCGCATCGGGTGCCGGTGGCGCTGCGCGGTCCTCGGCGCCAGCACCCACAGCACCCCTCCCCTCTGCACACACAGTCATCCCTCCCGCCCCCTTCCCATCTTTCATCGCAGGAGCTGCTGGACTGCCTGGAGGTGCTGATGGAGGTGGAGAACGTGCGGGACGTGCGGCAAGGCCTGGCCACCGAGCTATCGCGGCGCAGGACCGGCCTCTTCTCCGGCTTCTCCCAGGCCGTGGCGCGCGCATCCACGCATCTGGCCCGCCCCTCCGTCTGAGCGGCGGTCGGCGGACGCTCGGAGGTGACGGTGGTGCCGCCCTGCGCAATGCAGGCGGCGCCACTGGGAGGAGTGCCGCGGCGCACGCCTCCCTGGCGGCTGCGGTCGTGACGACCCAGGGCCCCATGCCGGCCTGCCCCCCCCGCCCGAATCCCCTGCATCCCCCACCCACCCCCTGCGCTGGGTGTGTGTGTGTGGTGAACTTTTTCTCTACAGGAGCAAACCTCAGGACAGGCAATATGTAAGGATCTCCATCACTCGGTCCAGGAGGGAAGGGGGGCAGGGAAGTGTACACGTGGGGGATCCACCCATGGCCGCCGCAGACCGTCAGGCCGCCTCGGCCCGCTCCGGCGCGCCAGCCAGCCCCCCTGCGGCCACGAGGTAGTCCAGGGTGCCCAGGTTGTGCTCCGCCAGGCCCGCCAGGTCGGCGTGCGTGGCTGACAGCAGGCGCTGCACCTCGCGCAGCGCGGGCCCGGCGCCGGAGGAAAGCGCGGCGCCGTGTGCGCGCGCCAGCTCGCGCACCCAGGCCAGGCCCAGCTCCAGGTGTGGCGAGGCTGCCAGCAGCCCGCCCAGCGTGGCCAGCAGGCCCGGGGCGAGGGCGGGGGGCAGCAGGCGCGACACCCCGGGCACGTGCTCCCGCGGCGTGGACAGCAGCACGTGCCGCGTCAGCTCCGCCTCGCCCAGACGCAGCGCCAGGAGCAGGGCGCGGAGGTGGGCGCCGGACCGCAGCGCGCGCAGCGCGGCCTCGGGCGTCACGCCCTCGGCCAGGTCGGTGGGGTCGAAGGCCGCGGCCCCCGCCGCGTCCAGCGAGTAGAGCGCCACGCCCGACGTCGTGGCCGCCGCCCAGGACCGGCCGGAGGGGCTCAGCGCCACCGCGCGCACGCGCGCGACCGCCACGCGCCGCGCGCCGGGCAGGTCGTCGTCGCGCCGGGCCAGGGTGTCAGGGAGCAGGTCGTCGTCGTCCGAGCCGTCGTTGATGGCGTCCAGCGGGCCTGCGTCTGCATGGGTAGCATTGGGGGTACGTGTTTAGGAGGGGGAGGGGGGTAGAAGGGGTAGAGTGAGGGTGGGGTCGGGTGCAGCCATGCCCTTTCCATCTCCAAGCATCCCCACACACAGTGCGGTCAGTGCAATTGTAGGGTGTAATCAAGGACGGGGCACGCGCTGTGGCGCCCCGGATTCAGCGATTGTTCACCGTTTGCTTTGACATCACCCCGCACATTTGTTCGGAGCAGGGACTGAGAGGCAATCACAGTCCGTCTGTGGCCCCTTGAACTACACCATGCATTCAAGCCAGCCCTCCCCATCGAAAGCACACACATACACACATCCAGTCTGATCGAGACCCGGGGTCCTTTCCACCTCCTTCCCCCCCCTCACTCCTTCCCCCCCCTCACTCATTCCCCAATTGACCCCTCCCACCCCCACCCCCCCAAACCCACCCCACCCACCGCTCATGTTCTTGCTGTTGAGCATGTCACGCACGCCGTCCAGGCTGGCGTTGGCGGTGGTGGCAAAGCGGCGCAGCAGCACGCGCTCCGCGACGTCGTACACGCAGACGTAGCGGCTGGCGCCGCCCGCGAACAGCAGCGCGCCGTCCGGCGAGTAGGCCAGCGAGGTGAAAGCCCGGCCCGAGCTGGTGTTGCCCGCGGTGCGCGCGTCGGAGGCGAGGCGGCCGCCCGCGACGTCGCGCCGGCCCGAGATGGTGCCCTCCACCACCGCGTCGTGCGGGTCCCACAGCGTGACCCCGCCGTCCAGCGTGGCGGCCGCCAGCTGGCGCGCGTCGGGGCGCCAGGCCAGGGCCAGGACGTCGTGCGAGTGCTGCAGGCGCTCCACGCCGCCGCGGCCGGCAAACACGTCCCAGGTGCGCACCGAGCCGTCCCAAGAGGCGGAGGCGAGCAGGGGGGCACCGGGGGCAAAGGCCAGGCCGACCACAGGACCCTCGTGCCCTGCCAGCACGTCCAGCAGGCGCCCCGTCTTCAGGCTCCAGACGTAGACCTGGAAGCCGTCGCGCGTGCCGGCGCACGCCACCTCCCCCGCCGGGTCCAGGGCCAGGCTGACGAACTGGGCGGGGTCGGGGGTGGTGAGCGTGCGGAAGCAGCGGTAGCGCACCAGGTCCCAGGCGCGGACGGTGCCGTCCAGCGAGGCGGACAGCAGGCCGTGCCCGGTGGGCAGCCAGGCCAGGGCGGTGACGGGCGCGGCGTGGTCGCGGAAGGTGACAAAGCAGAAGCCCGTGGCCGGGGTCCAGACCTTGACCCGCGCGTCGTCCCCCGCGGTGGCCAGCAGGCCGCCGTCTGGGGAGAAGGCGGCGGCCGCCACGTCGGCCGCGTGCCCCTGCTGCTTCAGCGCGTGCGTCTCGCTGCGCCACTCCCAGACCAGCAGCTGGCCCAGCTCCGCGCTGCCGGCCGCCACCCAGTCCCCCGCCGCATTCCAGGCCAGGGAGTTGATGGCCTGGGAGCCGATGGACAGCGTGTGCACGACCACCGCGTCGGGGAGCTGCAGCAGGTCAAACACGCCGTTGGAGAAGCCGGCCGCCAGCAGGCCGACCTCGGGGTGGAAGGCCGCCGCCGTCAGCCGCGCGCCGCGCTGCGAGATTGGTGGGGGGGAGGGGTGGGGGGGAAGGGGGGGTGAGCGATCGTGGCGAGGAGAGCGGGGAAAGTACTCGAGGGGGGTCCTCGGGGGGATTTGACAGCATGTGGGAGGTACCGCCACCGAGCAGCAGGCATGGGCACACCCTGCCTCTAGGCCTCGCGACTCGCAGACATGCGCCGCAGCGCCCTCCTGCACGCCTCGCGCCCTCAGCCACCCCCATAGATTACCACCATCCCAGCACGCACCTGGTTGAAGTAGTACTTGGAGGCCAGGCGCCAGTGCCCGCCGTAGAATTCGTGCGACTGGTGCGGCCCCTCCGCGCCACCGCCGTCTCCCGCGTGATCCTCCTCCGCGCCGCCGCCCTCGTAGGTCCAGGTGTAGAGGGCGCCGTCCTGGGCCAGGGTCCAGAGGTGCGGCGTGGGCAGGCCCAGCAGGCCCGCCGCCTCGCGCTGCGCCGCGCTGGAGAACTGCACGGCCACGGTCGGGGCGCGGTGGCCCATCAGGCTGGGGACCCGGTACCCTTGGATGGGATTCAGGGAAAGGGGTCTGACCACCAGATCCTCCGCCCCCGCCGCCAGCCAGGTGGAGCAGGGGCTCCAGGCCAGGACGGTCACGTCGGCGTGGGCCTGGCCGTAGGTGCGGTGCAGGGCCAGCGGGGCCACGCTCTTGCGCAGCTCCGGCGCACGCCAGACCTGGACCAGGCGCCCGACGGCCACCGCCAGGAAGGCGCCGTCGGGGGAGAAGGCCGCCGAGCGCACGCGGTCCTTGAACGAGAAGTGGTGCAGCAGCGCGCGGCGGCGGCGGTTGATGACCAGCGCGCGGCCCTCCACGTCGATGGACACCAGCAGGCGGCCGTCGGGGGAGAGGGCCAGCGTCCGCACCTGGTGCCCGTTTTCAAACGGCAGCGTGCTGGACGTGGACTGGGTCAGATCGATCTGCGGGAGTGGTTGTGAGATGTGGGGGGTGGGGACTCGGAGGTGGAGGGAGGGGACGAGGATCGCAGGTGCCCTGGGCTCATGCGCAGGGCAACATGGGCGCTGGAGCTTGCAAGTAGAGAAGCTCAGCCCCCCGCTAAGCGCAAGTGTGCCAGGCAGGGGAGCCTGCACCATCGCAGAGCCCCAATGAGGACCCAGCCAATAATCGCCCTCGCGCAATCTGCACCCCAGAAGACGCAAACAATAAAATCTCCCAGCAGGGCATCATACCTGTGACACCCGGTTGCCGACGGGGCTGAGGAGCTCCGAGCCATGGATGAGCAACGTCCCGCCCCGGTAGGGAGCCCCCAACAAGTTTGAGAACTTGTAGTCCATTGCAGCTACGGTCTTGCCATGCAGATGGGGGGGATTCTAGGCGTCAGGCGGCGTGCCGAGGAGCTCACGTCCAGCATGCGGCGACGAGTACGCCGCGAAGATGCATACAGGGCGGCACGATGAGATATAGGAAATACGCAAATTGAATCTGGCACATCCTCTGTATGACTGGTGTGGTGGTGCAGCGTTTGCAGGGTGAATGCATGCATGTGTTGCCAGGCCAAGCGCCCCAGCACTTCGACTAAGAAACGATGGCGCAAAAGTTTGACAAACCAATTGATGCGCGACAGGGGATCGTACGATACCCCATGCGTCCACTCTACATTGCGTTTCTCTTATCAAAGTCATCCACAACCTTTCAACGACACTTCACGAGTAGCTTGCATGCGAGTAAGTCCCTGCAGCGACTGATTCCTGCGCCTGCCCCGAGCCTGGCCTGACCGACCTCCCCACTGCCAACCGAGAGTCTCGGACCTCAGTGAGGTGGGGTTCGACAAACACCACTAGCTCGATTTTATGCAGTCTCGTTCTGCATCGCTGCCGTAATCTCCGACTTGCTACCCCGATCGCAGGGGGTGGGGAGCGAGGGAGAGTCGACAGCCAGAATCCATAACCCATCACAGCGCCCGACGCCCTTTCGGCCACAGACTGTGGTGAAACACACACATCGTATGCTACGATAGGCAAATCGTCCATACTACTGGACCATGGCTCCCCTGGCCAGCGAAATTGGGCCCAGGCCTCTGAAATCTGCGATGAAGCCCCCCAGGTTCCCTGCCAACCAGGACGAGACCCCCGCAGAGGGCCCAGCCCCGACCGGGAAGCGCGTGCGCATCCGCAGCATCAACAACGTGGTCCACCTGTTCAGCTCCGGGTCCCGCGAGGAGACGCCCGAGCCAGATGCTCAGCCCTCCACCACCAACCGGGTGCTGCAGTTTGGCGGTCCTTCCTGGGATCCCAATTCCCCGGAGGACGGCGGCGGCAGTCCCCTGGAAGACCTGGCAAAGGGCCATCCCTCCAGGGTGGCGCAGCAGCGGCGGCGACGGGGAGGCTCCCCCGCAGCGGCCATCGCGGCGACGCTGGCCTGGATGACGGCCTCCTCGGCCCTCATATTTTTGAACAAGGACATCATGGTGGACAGGGGATGGGGCTACCCCTTTGCGCTCACCGCCATCGGCCAGTTCTCCAGCGCCGGAGCGGGTAAGAGGACGCTCCCGGATGTTGTCAGAGGGGTTGCCCTCAGGTATGGCGGCACGCAAAGCGAGACGCGTGGGTAGCTGGCCCCCGGGAGGCGGTGTGCACCGTCCAGCCTGCACCAAAGTCCTGAGGGGTACCTATTGCAGCAGAGGCTGTCCATCGCGCCCCTGCGATACAATTGATGACCTGGCACGACTTGCGCTCTTGGGCACCTTCCCGCCTTCACCAACACATATCTCAGACAACGCCCCCCCCCCCGGAATAACCTCCTCCCACGCCCCAGGCTGGGCCATGGGCCGCCTGGGGCTGGTCCGGCTCAGGCCTCGCACCTCTCTGGGCACCAGGCCCCGCCAGCACGCGCTCGTGGCCGCCTGCTTCGCGGCCTCCCTCTTCCTGGGCAACGCCGCGTACCTGGGCCTCTCCGTGGCCTTCATCGGCATCCTCAAGGCACTCGCGCCCGTGGCCACGCTGGGCGCCAGCCTGGCGCTGGGGCTGGAAAGGATGTCGCTGCCCGTCGGCCTGGCCACCGCCCTCATCGCGGCGGGGACCATGCTGGCCACCGCGCAGGTCGGTTGGGAGGTGGGACCTGTGTGGCAATCCAGGAATGGGGGCCCAGGAGGTGTTGCAGGCGCCGGTGGAGGCACTGAGTTCCCTCGAATGGCCTGCGGCGGGGGCTCATCATCTCACAATGTGTGGCGCTCGACATGGTGTGCTGCCGGGGCCAACTCTTTGCGATTCAAGGATCATGTTGCGCCTGCAAGGAGCCCCTCCAGCCCCTCCCCAACCTCCTCTGACCCGACAGCACCCCCGCTCTCTCCCAATCACCACCCACCCCTGGCAGGAGGCCGCATCCTCCCACTTCTCGGTGCTGGCATTTGCAGCGTTCGCCACCAGCGTCGGCTTCGAGGCCCTGCGCGTCGTACTGACGGAGCGGCTGCTGGCGGGGGAGGGCGCCGCGCCGCGGATGAGTGCCGCGGAGGTCCTGGTCTACATCGGCCCCTTGACGGGCCTCATGCTGCTGGCGGGGTCCGTCCTCGTGGAAGGGCCCCACATCCTCCGGCGGGTGAGGGACTTGCGTGTAGGGTTCGCACGGATGGAGGGTCTGAGGAGGTTCGATGTGGCACGGCAGGAGGCGGTGGACGGCGATGGGGCAGAGCGCGAGTGCCACGGCGGACTCCGTTGAGATCCTGGCAGACTCGCACCCACGAGGCTTGCAGTGTATCCCTCATCTGAAAGAAACCAACTCACACACACCTTCAAACAGGTGCAAGGCGGAGAGCTGGCGGCGCTGGCCCCCGCTTTGGCCCTGGCCTCCGGCGTCAGCGTCCTGGTCAACCTGTTCTGCTACTGGGCCATCTCTGCGACGTCGTCCACCACCTTCAAGGTGGTGGGGTGCCTGAAGAACAGCGTGGTGGTGGCGCTGGGCGTCGCGGCCGGCGACCCCATGACCGCCAGGGAGCTGCAGGGGTACGGCATCTCCATGCTGGGCTTCGGGCTCTACACCTGGATCAAGCAGAGGGCGTAGGGATGAAGGGTGTTGAGTTTCCCTTGCTGCCGAAATGGCACCCCCCCCTTCATGCCCCGCAGCGCGCGATGGGACCTCGGTGTAGGATGATCCTAGCAGACGACGCCTCAGACTCGCAATGACACCTGTGTCCGAGCATTACGGAAGTATAGCAGGGAATTATAGCAGGGATGGATCGGTCAACGGGATCCGCGAAGAAGAAGAAGGTCATGAGTCCTGCGGCCACCGCCCCAGCGCCAGTAGCAGTCCCGAACCAGGAGCCCTTTGGGCCCAAGCTCGCGGCCCTGTGCTACTTTGGCCTCTTTGCATCCCTCGCGATCTGCCTCACCGGCATCCTGGGCCTCGCCATCCTCATGGGTAGGGCCAGGTGCTTAGGTCAAGGCGGGCACGCCAGCTGCGCCGTGCCACCGAGCTGCGATGCAGCCCCAGCCCCTCCCAATCCCGTGACTCTCCTCCACCCGCAGATGTGAGGACACAGGAGCAGTGGTACTCCAAGACCGCATTCGCGCCTCTGTGGCTGAAGTTCACAGAGAACAACCCCTACACAACCACCTGTGCGTGGGTGCTTTGGTGTCAAGTGCAGGGCCTGGGTGTCCATGCCAGATCCCCTGCAACGATGCGTAACGCGCTCGGGACTCCTATGCTGCACGGGTGTGCAAAGTGCTCAGTCAATTGGGTCCTAACACCCTTTCTCCCTGCAGTGTGCGTCAACGGCGGCGCCGGCCTCGCAATCTTCCTGGCCAAGCGGATATACGAGCACAGGAGCGCGCTCAAGGCGAGTTGATGGGGCGTGGGCGTTGTGAGGTTCTTGTCAGTGCAGACCTAGAGGCCGGACTTATGATGCCAGCCATGCATGCCAGCTGTGCTCTGATGCTTGGCCACCCTGATCTCGCCTCTGCAGGCACAGAAGCGGAGGTGACCCTGCTGCTTGGGAGCGCTGCACTCACCCTGTGGTTCTTCAGTGCTTCCATCATTCGCACCCTGCCTGACAATTCCTTGGTGTTACAGGGACAAACACACGGGTCGGGGACAGACGGGGGTTGAGAGCTGTGACGTGGAGCAGGTGTGGGCATCGGCTGGAAATGAGGGGCTGGGTCTGCAGGGCAGGGCAGCCTCCTGCCTGGCGACGGGAGCGGTGGGGGAGCCCCGGCGACGGGCGATTCACGGCCCGGCGCCGTGCTGCTCGCTCTCACGAGGAGCCTGCCCTCATCTCATCAGCATGCCTGGCGCTGCTGTGCCCGGCGGGGAGCGGCAGGGTTGCAGGGGGGTGACGCCACCACCTCCTTTCCCCCCTCCCAAGCCAGCCAGAGGTCCGCGGTGCCACCAGGCCGCCCTCACACGTCCACCTGGGTCAGCTCCACCTGCGCCTGCTTCATCATGTTGAGCTTGTTGGTCAGCACCTCGCGCCGCTTCATCACGCCCTCGTCCTCACCCAGCAGCCGCTTGAGCGCAACCTCCTGGTCGCCCGCCACTCCCGCCTGCATCTCCTCCAGCAGCCGCTCCTTGGCCTGTGGCGAGTGGTGGGTGGTGGGAGAGGGGAGTCACGCGCGAGGCTGGTGTCCACACACAACAAGGCTGGGGGCAGCAGGGAAAGTATCAGTCAGCATCATCAACATGCCTTCCTCCACCGACACAGGCACACACTCACATCTCCTCGCACGATCATACAAATCATCACGAAGCTGCAGGCCCGCATGGCAGGTCCCTCCCCCTTGCCGAGTATCACCACCCTCCCACGCCCTCCTCTTCGCCCCCCCCCCTCCCGATGAGGCCACACCCCCAACCCACCTGGATGACCATGCAGTGCACGATGGCCTTGGGGATGGTCTGCGTCATCTGCCCGCACACCTCGCGCACATAGCCCGACACCTGGTTGATGATGCGCTTATAGTGCTTCTCCTCGATGGTCCCCTCCGGCTCCTCCGTCACGGGGCGCCCGTCCAGCGTGTACAACACCTTGCCGTCAGGCATGCGCCCCATCTGGATGGCGCGGAAGTACTCGGCGGTGATGTAGTTGCGCTCCATCTCCACCATGATGTTCACCATGCGCCGCGTCTCCTCCTTGAAGCGCTCCAGCGCGCGGTAGGCCGCCGTCACAATCTCCCGGCGCAGCGTGGGGTAGCGCCGGAGGGCGCGCACCTGGATATTATTTGGGGGGGGAAAGGAGGAGCACGTGTGTTTGTGTGTGTGCGCGCGCAGGGTGTCGACCGTGAGGGTGCCGAGGTGCACATCCCCCGCCAGGGTGGCTGGGATGCGTGTGTGAGAGCGTGCCTGGTCGAGACCCCACCCGCCCCACCACTCGAACCTCACCTCCTCAGACCCGGCGACGCTGTCGACCATGCGCCGGAGCAGCACAAACACCTCCTCCACGCTCTTCTCGGTGGGGTCCTTCAGGTAGCCCAGCGCCTCCTCCAGCATGCGGCGGTACCCGGCCTCGGGCGCCACCAGGTGGGGCTGGATGCCGTCGGCCTCCTCGATCACGCGCTTGACGTAGTTCACCTCCAGCAGCTTCTTGAAGGGTTGCTTTTCGATGGCGTCCGGCAGCCGCTTCTCAAAAACAGTGAGGATGAGCTCGCCGCCCCCCTTCCCGCCGTCGATTAGCTTGGCGAACCCGGTCTCGAACTTGCGGCAGAGGGTGAGGACGAGGTGGATCATCTCGCCACGCGAGTTGGCGGCCGGGCCGCCCATGCCGTCCAGCTCCTTCTGCAGCTCCGCCACGTTCTTGTTCACAAACGCGGCGATGTTAGGCAGCTGGCGGCGCACGCTGGCCACCAGCTTAGTGGACAGCTCCGAGGATAAAAATCCGGTGCCGATGTTGCGCAGGCCCTGGTAGTCGGGCTTGGCCTGGAAGAAGTCCAATTCCTTCTGCCGCGCGCGGCCCATGTCCATGCGGGAGTTGATGTCGGCCTGGCCGCGGTTGACCACCCCGATCCAGCCGTTGCGCAGGGTGTAGGCCGCGCCGTCCAGCACGTCGCGGCAGTTGGTCCCGGGGTCCATGATGTCGATCTTGGTGAGCACGCCGATGGTGCGTTCGCCGGTGGGATCCACCTCACGCGCCATGCGCAGTGCGTCGCTGGTGGCCAGGTCGGCGTTGGCGGGGGTCACCGCCAGGATGATCACGTTCTCGTGGCGCACGTACTCGCGCGCCATGGCCTCCAGCTCGGTGACGATGGACTTGGGCTGCCCGTCGATGGGCACCTTGGTGAGCCCCGGCATGTCCACCAGGGAGAGCGCGGGCAGCTGGGGCGACACAATGCGCAGCGTCATGGGGACGGGGGACACGATGGTCCCGCGCTTCTCTGTGTGCCGCCGTGTCTCCGCCTCAATCTCCGCGCGAATGGCCTCAAAGTCCAGGAAGCGCTTGCCGGGCAGGTGCCCAAACTCGCCGTACTCGGCCGCGCCGGCGTCGGGCGAGGTCTCCAGCTGCAGCTCCAGGGGGCGGCGCGTGACAATGCCGGTCCCGCGCGGCAGGAAGTCGCGGCCCACCACCGCCTCCAGCACACTGGACTTGCCGCTGGACTGGCCGCCGATCACCACGATCTTGGGCAGCTGACGGGCGAGGGAGGGCATGCCGCCGCCGCCGCCGCGCGTCTCGTCGCCGGCCTGGGTGTCGCCCGCCAGCGCCGCGATGGCCGACACGCGGTTGATGGCCCGGAGCACACCGTCCATGGTGGCGGGGGTGTTGTGGTACGGCCTGGTGTGTGGAGAAGGGAGAGGGGAGGATGTCAGGAGGATGGCTCTTGGACCCCTGGGCCAGGGCGGAGGGTGGCAGGGAAACGGAAGGGGAGAGTACTGTGCCATGGGGGCGCGGAGCTGCCCTCTGCACTCGATATCACATCGCATGATGATGGCTGGCAGTGCAAGTTACTTGCTCGGAGAACCCCCGCCCCGGGGATCCCGTGGTCGGGGGTGGCACTGGGATCGCGTGGGTGCACCTGAGGTCTCATCCCTCCGTGCACGACCCCACTCAGCCAGGTGCACACCTGGAGCAAGGATCAGGGGGGCGAGGGTCGGCGAGGGAGGAGCGGGTGTCAGTAGCGTGTTCGTCCGCAACCGCAGGTTGACCTCCGCGACGTGGGTGAGCAGCACGGTTAGAGCGACGTCGAGGCTGTCACTGCCCACAAATGCCAGATACAGGTGCTTCGTCGCCAGCCGAGGGCGCCGTGGGACGGTTTCGTACCCCCAAGGCAACTGCTCGCCATGCCGAGTGTGAACCAGGGCGCGTGAGATCTCGGACCTGGCGCCACCAACCTCCCCTGGCACACGCCGCGGGGCCCGGTCCCCGATCATCAATATTAAAAGAATGCAACAAGATTCGACAGCATGAGAGAGACCCTGCATCCATGCTCGGCAGGCGATGGCCCCGAGCAAGCCCAACAATGCAACAGGAGGCTGGGGTACCAGCAGGGTGCGCCTACAGCCCCTTCTGCGCCTCACGCATGGTCTCCACCGCCTGCACCAGGTTCTCGGCGCCGGACACGTCCACAGCTGCAGGCGTCTTGTCCACGAACTGGGAGGGGTAGACCGGTTCTCCAGTGATGTGCGCTGTGGGGAGAACGCGCAGGCACGCAGAGGCCGTGCCGGGCACCCTCAACCCCAGGAATGAGGTGCAGGCGGGGCCATCACACCTTGCCCTGCCACCATCACACCTCCACCACCCTCGCACACCAGATTCAAGAGCACGCCGTTGTCCAGGATAGCCGCCCAGCGCTGGGACTTCGGGCCGCCCTCCTCCCCGATCCCCAGCTCGACGCCCAGGTAGCGGGTGAGCCGCCCGCCCACGTCCACCACCTGCCGCACCTCCTCCGGCTTCAGGCCGAGCTTGCTGGCCCACTGCTCCGCCTCGCGGGCCGTGCCCTGGGACACGCACAGCACGGGCAGCTGCACCTCAAGCTCCTTGAATCGCTGGAGGGCCTTGGCAAAGCCGGGGGCATGCTGCTCGCTGCACACCTTTCCCCGGTCCGGCACCCCAAAGGCGATTTGGAGCCCGCCCTGGGGTGTGTGTCCGAGAATGGGGAGTGGGGAGGTGGAGAGGAGAGCGAGGAGGCAGGTCTCCAGATGAGCTTTTGAAGCAGGATGGTGCGCATTGGATGCACCGTGAGCTTGGGCTGAAGAGGAGCAAGCTCCCCAGAGAAAAGCAGTGCTGCCCCCGGGAGCAGCAGGTTTCACCCCATTTGTGAAGTCCAGCATGCGGTACTGAGCTGGGCCCCACCCACCCACACCGGGGTGACGAGCGCTCACCTTGAAGACATCCTTCACAGAAAGTGTCTTGCCATCGACCTGCAGCTGGACGTGGCGCAGGTGGTACAGCTCCTTCCGTCGCAGCAGGCCAGCGTGGCAGGTGTGTGGCGTGAGCTCCGAGTCCTTGTGGCCCTGAGGCACCTCCTCGCACCCCGGAGGATTCTTATTGCTGAAGAACCTAAAGTCTAGCAGGCCTGCTCCGCCCGCACATGGCTGTCTGAGCCGCTGGGCGGAGGACGGGAGGTGACGGAGCATGGACCCCAATCCCCGTCGCGTGCTCCTTCCCCACTCGGCGAGGATGCAGCACCCTCCCCGTGTTCACGTCTGGGGTGAGATCAGTCGCTCGGAGTTTTGGAGTGGATCGCCAGCGATCCATGCCCACCCACCCTACGTTTCGACGACCTGATCCGTCGATCGTCCGCACGTGCCGAAACCGGGCCGCAGCGAAGCTCACCAACCACGCGGGGGATTCTTGGCCATCGCACTGGCTCCCACCAGAACGAACGAGGTGGAGGATCAATGTCTTCACAGTCCATTCAGGCATGCAAGAAATCACGAGGTTCAGGAAACATGAGATGGTGCATTATTGGAAAGAGCTGGCGCGTGGGGGGTGTGGATCATGGGTCGGCTCCAGCCACCAGTTGCAGCAGCACATCCTCCACATCCTCCAGTCCCGTCAGCATCCCGCTGGACACCACCTGCGCAAGCACATGGGCTTAAGTTTCTGCTGAGCAGGGCGTTGTTACCCGGTGCAGTACACGCCGCCATAGAATTCATGACCGACATTCTGGCGTCCCCCTCCCCCCCCATCACCACCCCTCACCTTGCTGACTTGCGAGGCCAGCTGGAGGCAGGTCTCGTGCACGTAGGTCCGCACGACGGGCAGCACCGCCTGCAGCACAGCTCGCTCCTCCGGCGCGATGGCCGACTGTGCTGCCCCCGGGCACGCCGCCCACTCGTCGTGGCTCTGCTGACTCAGCGTCCGCCCAGGGCTGCCGGGCTCCCCCCGCCCCTCGCCTTCCTCAGTCTTGTGCGCCTGGGCCTCTGCACCCTCTTCCGCCGGCGCCCCGCCCCCCCGCAGCTCGGCCTCGTCAAACACTCGGGTGGAGATCTTGCGGTCCACGCCGGTGCCGACGGGAGCGTCCAGCTCCGCCCCCTCCGTGGACTCGAGGGCCAGCGTGCGGGGCAGGGCCAGGGCGGCGTCCTTCAATCCCGGCACGTCCCCGTGCGGGCCCTCGATGGCCGCCCACACCGCCTCCACCCACTTGTTCCGCGCCGATGGCGACTCGGCACGCAGCACCAGGCGGGGACGCTCGCTGCCCGCGGCTAGGCCGCCGGCCAGCACCACAAACACCGTGGGCGAGGCTGCGGGGTGGCGGCACGGGGGGGTGGTCAGTACGTGTGACGCGGCAGACTTGGGCACGGGAAGCGAGGCAAGGGAGGGGCATGGCCATCGGCCGGGAATCGATGCTTTGGAGGGCCAAGCTCGCCTGTGCACCATCAGCACAGCCAATCTCATGTGATGCGAGTCCAGGCACCTTGTTGGCAGCCCCCCTGGGCCCCCCGATCCCCACCTTCATGCCTGTCGCACCCATAGTGCACGCTGAAGGCACAAGTAGCCCCTGCTCCCCATGCCCAACCCCATGCCACCCACCGATGTCGGTGTCGGCAAGGACAGACTCGCCCCCCGCCAGCGTGGCCCCCAGCAGGCCCAGCACGCCGCGCGTGGCGTTTGACCCAGGCTTGTGCATGTACCACATGCGGCCCAGCCCGGAGCTGACCACCACCCAGCGCCGCTGCCAGCGCCCGTGGCGCGACCGCTTCTCCAGCCAGCCCATGTAGTAGCTGTGCAGCGGCACCGCCGAGGGCTTGCGCGGGACGGGGGCGGGCGGCGGCGTCCCTGCCGCCGACACGGCCAGGGTCGCATCCTCGCCCGCCCTCCCGATGGCCGCCGCCTCGCGCTGCGCCCGCGCCACCAGGCCCGCCACGTCGGCCAGCTGCGCGCGCAGGCGCGTGAAGGCCGGGGAGGAGGGGAATTGCGCCTCGGCCGCCAGCGTGGCGCTGATGTGCGCCGAGGTGGCGTCGCGGCGCGCGCCCAGGAAGCGCAGGCACGCCCGCTCCGCCTCCTCCGCCAGCTCGGGGCTGCGCGGCGCGGCGCGGACCGCCACCGCCGCCAGCATGGCGCGGGCCAGCAGGGCGTGCACCGCGCCCACCAGCGCATGCGCGGGGAGCTGCCAGGTCGAGAAGCACTCGGCCAGCAGCGCCCGCACCCCCGGCTCGGGGGCCAGGATGTAGTCCTGGTACCCCTGCCCAGCCCTGCATGGCGTTTTGGTGTGTGGGAGGGGGGGGTCTGACTGAGTTTGGGGCATGCAGGGGTATAGGCGGGGACGGAGATGGGCGGTCCATGCACCGGGCGCGCTGCCCGCCGCCCTCGATCCGGCGTGGGCTCCCGAACTCGTGCCGTCCCAGGTTTGGGACTCACTCCTCCCCGACTCCCGACGCATCGGGAACCCTGATCCATACCTAAGCATGGTATGCGCCTGCTCGATGGTGAACAACTCATCCAGGCGCTGGATGTTGAGCCGAGCAGCCACGGCCTCGGTGCTCAGCTCTGCCGCGAGGTCCCTTCGGAGCTCGGCATCCGTGGAGCCCAGGGACCCGCAGGCCCTTCCCAGAGCTTTGATGAGGAGGAGGCGATCCACAGCGCTGAGATCAACAGGTGGGTCGTGAGTCGTGGCCTCCCCGCTGTCCTCCTCCAGGGCCACAGGAGCATGGGCCATGGGTGGGGCCCCCCCCGCAGAACCGCGCGTGATGGAGCAGAAGACCTGCCGGCTGTACATTCCTTCTCAGAGCATGAGCCGAGGATGCGGTTGGATGGATTTCTGTGTCTCCAGTGAGCCTCGCTCGCCTCATGGCGCTGCTTGGGTGAGGGATCCGGTTCCCGTCACATGGCGGAAGTCAGAGGGGGCGCGACGGGATCCGGACAGATCCGAGGTTACGGGAGGCGCCGAAGCTGCTAACCCGGCTGGGGCTCTGCATCACAAGAAAAAATGGATTGAAAATGTCTTCTTATCACTTCAACACGGCGTTCGCATGGGGCGGGGGGCGGGATGCTAGCACCACGATGAAGCAGTGCCGCACCACGTCTCCAGTCCGCCCTGGGCAGAGCATCCAGGTCCTCACCTTCCACCAGGCTGCGTGCAGCGCCACGGAGCTGCGCCAGGCACCAGGAGCCTGAGTCAGATCAGGACGCCTCCCTTTGCACCGGTGACCCTGCCCCTGGTGGGCCCCGCACCTCGCCGCGCCTCCGGGCCCGGAAGAACTCCACCATGAGGCGCTGGCACTCATCCGCCAGCACGCCCCCCCGCACCTCCAGCCCCGGGTGGAAAGGGTGGGCTGGCGCGCCCGGCCCCCGCCCCAGCAGGGACACCCAGGAGCCGTCGGCGCCCATGAGCGGGGAGCGCGCGCCGTACACGACGGCCGCCAGGCGCGCCGCCAGCGCGCCACCCGCGCACATGGCGCACGGCTCCACGGTGACGTATAGCGTGGCGGCCGGCATGCGCCAGCTGGGTGCGACGCCCGCCGCGCGGCGCAGGCACAGCATCTCGGCATGGGCGGTGGGGTCGCCGGTGGCCTCCACCTCATTGTGGGCGCTGGCCAGCAGGGAGCCGTCCGCCGCTGCCAGCACGGCGCCGATGGGCACCTCGCCCTTTGAGGCAGCCTGTGGGGTGGGGCAGGGAGCGAGGACTTGGGCAGGGCTGGGGGGGCTGTGGTGTAGCCTGCACCCATGTCCGACCTGGGTCCCGGGAATCCCAGCGGCCAGCCCGAAGAAAATTCCCCAGGACCCCGCAGGAGCCGAAAGTCCAAGCACCTTGTGAGCCTGGTCGAGTGCCAGACGCATGTAGTGGCTGTCCAGGCCGGCCTCCAGGGGCGGGCACGAGTCATATCCGGGAGGCACAGCCTCGAATGTGCAGCGCCGGTGGTCGGGCGAGGCCCGCCGGCTCGGGGCCATGCCCGCCCGGCGGGTTCGCAACCCCACTCCAAGGCACCTCATGGTGCATGCCCCGGCCTGCCACGCCATGCTGGCGAAGCCTTGCGAGGCACGACACCGGGTGTGTGGAGGGGTAAAGTTGGAGGGTTCACGCCATGCCGCTGCCGAGGTAGAGAAGTGCAGAATTCCAAAACGTAATATAATTGCCGTTTCACAGTGTCAGACCATCGACTTCCCCACATGGGGTCGTCGTTGTCAGAGTGAACCCCGAGCGCGCCGTGGTGTGCCATGGACGCTCACATGCATGACGAACCATTCATCGACTACCAGGCTGGGCTGTCATGTACAGTTGGGACCAGCATGATCAGTCTGTGCCTTGAACTTGACAGGTATACGAGTTGTCTCACGGTGCAGCTGCTCTCACAATGCACCGAGCTGTGCAGACAGATCCTGATACGCCAGGTCTCCCAGGCTGTACGAGCAGGGGATTGATGTTCTGCGGGCATAGGATTGTGTACCTGCCGAAAGGCGACATGAGCGTGGCGAGAAAGGGGTGCTATCCTGCCCCTTTCAGACAGAGCTTCGACTGTTGTCTAGTCCCGATCATTTCATCTCCGGTCTATCTCCCAATCTTCTGCATCAAGTTCACGAACGACTTACTAAGGAGGGCCAAAATCCGACTAAAGAAGCCGCGAGCGAGCAGAAGGTGTTTCGTTACAGCAGAACCGATCCAATGTTGCGCCCTCGCGATCTGGGGGCCAGGGGGAGCACGGTCCCGGGCGCGGCTCAGAGACACAACAGGCACTCAAGCCCCTCGCCAGCAATATATTCTGCAACCATGAAGTAGAAGGGTCGCGTGTGTGGGCGGGCAGGTCGCAGCGCTCGACATGTTCCGCACTTGCTTCGCAGCGACGATTGCGGAGGTCAAGGGTGCACGGCAGGCCTTCATCACCTCCCGCTTCGAGATCGACTCCAAGGGCCTTCCAACAGATGCCAACATCCTGGAATTTTGTTTCCCGCTGGGCGCTGCAGCCGTAGTCCCCAAGGAGTACCAGGCGGTCGAGGTAGGTGGGACACCTGTTCATCATGGGACCAGGCCTGGAAAGCGAATGGCTGCCAGAGATCATGGAACACAGGATTGTTCCTCTCTCCCCCGCACACGTACCTCGTGCAACTCCATTGCCTGCCTGACCCGGCCCTCCCCGAGCCACTCTCCGCAGGAGTTCCTGTTTGCCCTGACGGGGGGTGGCGGCGACCGCCTGTATGGCTTCTGCAGGCACTCCCTCCCCCCCAACCGCCCCGGGGAGGGCAACGGTCGGGGGATCGCCAAGCTCCAGCGATATCCCCAGGCGCTGTGCATCGTCTCGCCCCACCCATGGGCCCAGTTCTTCTTCAGGGTGCGGTTTGATGGGCTGGGGATTGTGGGAGGCCAAGCGGCGAGTCGGGGTGCCAGTCCCGTGATGGACCTGCTCAGGCGCCAGCAACCTCGGCAGCAGGCCCATGAGATACCTGTGTGTGTGCTTCTCACTGGGCCATGCAACTGGCGCTTTCACCCTTGCCAACGCGATGCTCCAAGGGGCCAGACCATGTGGTCCGAGATACCCTCGGCGTGCCACCCGCCTGCCCATCGAACAACCCCCGCCTCCCTCCCACGCACTCCTGGCGAGGCCCCTTGCCTGATCCCCACCCCCTCCTCCCCCAACCCTTCCTCCCCCACCCCACCCTCTCACATCCGAGCAGGTGCTGGAGGTGCTGGACCGCACGCTGCGCGCGCTGCCCTCCCCGACCCTGAACGGCCACGCTTTCCTGCGCGACCTGGACGCCGCGGCCCCCGCCGCGCTTGGGTCGGTGCTGCGCCTGCCCTGGCCGGCCTGCCTGCACGTCGGGTCCCTGCCCCGCCAGCACCGCGCCTTCGCCTCCCCCGCCGACCCGGGGGCCTGGCTGGCCGCAGGCGAGGGCGGCGTGCTGGAGCTGGAGGTGCCCCCCGACGTCGGCGGCGGCGCCTCCACCGCCGGCATCCCACTGGCCCCCCTCCTCTGGCACCTCACGCCGCGCCTGGCGGTCAGCCTCCTGGCCGCCCTGCTCATGGAGCGCCGCGTGGTGGTGGTCTCCGCCGACCTGGGCCGCCTGACGGCCGCCGTGGCCGCCGCGGCCGCGCTGCTGCACCCTTTCCACTGGCAGCACATCTTCCTGCCCCTTGTCCCCGCGTCGCTGCTGGTAGGGCGAGTCTTTCATTCCTCATCCCTTGCACTCCTGTGTTCATCTGTCTGCCTCTAAAAGATGGCCATAGCATCCCACCTCTGCTTTGCACTCACACACACACCCTTTGCCCCCCTCCCCATCCAACTCACCCACAACACACACTCCCAGGATTACCTGGCGGCGCCCATGCCCTTCCTGGCGGGCGTGCCCGCGGCCTGCCTGCCCACGCTGCGCACGCTGGCCATGGAGGAGGTGCTACTCATCGACCTGGACACGCTGGGGTCGGCCTCGCCGCCGCCGGGCGGGCCGCGCGACGACGCGCTCCTCCTGCCCCATGCCGACGCGCTGGAGGCGGCCTTCGACGACCTGCGCGACCTCCAGCGGTCGCCCGCCGAGGCAGCCTCCACGCCCAAGGCCGCCGAGATCGTGCGTGCCTGGGCGGTGCGCGTGTTCGGCGGCTACCGCGCTTTCCTCCGCCCAGAGGACGCGGCGGGGGCGGGCGCGGCGCTGGGGGGGCCAGGTCAGCAGGGGCTGGTGCACGTCGCGCGCAGCACAGGCAGCGTGCAGCGCGCCCGGTCCGACACCAGCATCAGGTGGGTTTGGTTTGCAGGCGGAATGAGGGGAAAGGAGAGGGGGGGGTGGAGGCGACCGGTGGAGGTAGGGACGGCAGGATGAGATGGAAGGGAGTGCGGTCAAGCGAGGTGAAAGCAGAGAGAAAATGTGCTCGAGTACAGGCCAGCGACTCCGTGGATGAGGGGTGATTGTGGGCAGAAGGCCCGGCGACGTGCATTCACACCCTCTCCCTGGCCCTGGCCACTCCATTCCTGCCTCCTGCCTCCCCTTCTCCCCTCGTTCCCCCACAGCACACCCCTTGCCCCACCCCAGAACCCTCTCACACCTGCCCATTCCCCAACAGGGCGCATGGCTTCGTGTTCGACCTGGAGGGTTTCGTGAACGGCCCGCGCCGCGCCTCGCGCCTCGCCGCCTTCTTCGCCGCCTTCCGCCACTCCCAGATGTTCGAGGTGTTTGTCGTGGAGCGCTGCGCGGCGGCCGCGCAGGGCTACCCGCTCACCGACGCGTTCGAGGCCGAGGTCTCCGATCGTGTGGGCCAGGGGGCCTCGCCCCTGGCGGCGGCCGCGGCGGCCGCCGCTGCGCGCGGCGCCGGTTCGCGCATCGGCAGCCTCTGGCGCAAGACCTCCGACGTCGTGCGACAGTCCTCCGACACCCTGGTCACCGCCGTCAGGACGCTGGGCACGCTGCAGGACGACTACCCACTGCCCGGGTGAGTTTCTGAGAGGGGGGTGTGTCTGATGATGTGACGGTATTCCTGATCCGTGCCCGTCCACGCCCCTGGGCCCCACCCCCTGCCCCTGGCCGATCACCCGCAGGCAGACGCTGCGCAACCCCTCCCAGATGGGCGGCCCCCCCCTGGCGGCCGCGCCTCGGCCGGGCGGGCCCCCCCCGCAGACAGGGCGCCTGGCGCCCCTGGCCGCCGGGATCAAGTCGCTGGACGACGTGCAGGCTAGCCTGTACTTTGCCCACGCGTCAGACGCCAGCTTCGACTCCGGTGAGCGGGGAGGTGGGGGTTGGGGGGAGGGGGGCGCAGCTGGCCGGTGTTCCTGGCAGAAGGGCAGTGAGTGCATTCACTGTGTTCCGGCCTGCTGGACTGGCGCTCCGCCTGGGGTCATCAGACAAAGAGCCTGCAGCGTGGCGACGCCTCGGGCGAGGAGGACCGGCCGTTCCGACCCAATCTTTTGGACATGGTCTGCTGTGCTCTGAACCCACGCACATCATTCTCCG